AACCTTATCTGCAATAGCACTTATTCAACTTGGGTCGCTTCGTGGTTTACAACTCGTGACTGTTCCCCACATCTATTGCCAGCCTTTCTAATTTTTTCAGCACATTTCATGTCCATATTCCAGGGCATTGACCAGACACTTGTATACAAAACGATTTCTTCACAATATTTAATATTTTTTTGTCTGTAACAGTTTTTAGCAGAAGTAAAGAGTTTTCATAAGAAGTAAACGTTTCTATCTGCACTGTATTTTTTATATCTCATTCTGACTATATTTTAGAAGAAATTTATTGTTAAGCTGTAGTATCTTTCAATATTGAAGGAAAGTTCATCACTGTGCTTCTATTAGAACATCCTCTAGTTTTCCCGACGTCTTCTCTGTACACGTCACATGGAGCGAACCTTCCCTGAAAATATACAGAAACTTCTACATAGCCAGACGCAAAATACTTTCATCAAAAAGTTGCCAGCAGCAAAATACTGAAAAAAATTCAAACCTGATACTTCAGCCTCTAAAGAATGTATCGGAATAATACTAAAATCTTTGCTAAAATTCATGCTAATTTCACTGATTTCAAATTTAAATCCACATATTAAATATGGTAACATCAAACTGAAATTCACATTCCAAATATAGTGATATTCTTATTCAAATCAAATTCATGCCAGATTACTTATATTCCAATATCTGAATTCATATGCCTATTGCAACATTTTTTAAAATTCTGATTTACAAGTCAAATAGACTGACATACATGCATTGATCTCTGGTTGTTAAAGTTTTGCTGGGCATGGGACCAATTTTAAGTTTTTATATATTTTATTTATGGGGTCATTTAGAATGAATAAGGTCACAACACCTATTGTGCACTACCTCCAGAGGGACACTCGCTGAATACAATCAGATTATGACACTAACACACCTCCTTCTGGTATTGAGTAGGATACAGAAAAGCTGGTGGTTATACAAGTTAGTGTTTTGGAAACAAGAAGCATGTTAATGTGGAGTTAGTGCACACTGCCCCTATGATATTGTGTATGTACCCAGGCCCTCACCTCCTGATGTGGAAGACAGCTGTTATCTGACCATTCTCAGGCACCTCCTGCATTACCACCTAGAAACAAAGAGACAGAGAGACAATGATTATATTATACCCACAGACGTGTGTGTGTGTGTGTGTGTGTGAGAGAGAGAGAGGGGGAAGGAGTTGGACATTACTGTTATCCACCACTTTGATTATCACTTAATTTGTTTTAAGTCAAAGAAATTCATTTAGGAAGGACATTTAAGTGTCTGAAATTGAGTAATTATCTATCAACCTAAATCCAGTGTTTGCTACTCATTACAATATATTAGGTTCTTGAATCTGAGCAGTAAAATATTACATTATCACAATATGTGTGTTTGCTTGTGTGTATGTGTGAGCATGCACGTATGCTAGTGTGAGTGAATCTCTATAAACACACGCACACGCACATAGAACTCCCACACAGGATTGACAAACATGCTGACCTTATTTATTTTCATGAAATATATAATGGCAGCTAATCTACTGCTATGCTTTTGATATGACAATTACCAATGATGTCCTGGGAAAAATTATGCCACACCTGAAGAGCTTTCTAATTGATCAACATCATGTTCTCACAATTATAGTGTAATGATCAGGAGTAAATATCTATTTAAGCTGGAATTGTTCATGGTAATGAATTTATAGTTGTGTTTTGCTTGGAACAGTTTCAGAATTTCACGAAAATTAAATGAGTTAATTAGATCCCCAGTATAGCATTGGCTTATAATCAAATGCAGAACTTACAACAAAGCATAAGTTCTCACCTTGCCTAGCAATACTGTATCATTTATACTGTCATCTGCTTCAAAGATTTCCATACAAAATGTTGTCTGCTCTGGAGAGAGGTTGAATATGTGCTGCCGTCTCACTGGGATAGGAGTGAAGGCTGGAAATAGCACCTGGGGCTTGTCTTGGTCACTGTTGCTAGGCAACACCTATAACATAAATCAGGGGATAAATATGATGAAATGAAATTAAGTGGATGACATAATTGAAAGTAATTGGATGATAAATAGTTTTATAGGTTTCATCATTCTTTTCACCATTTAATGAATTGTTAGCATTGTGGAATGATATTTCAGTTACAATAAATATCAGTATTTTTTAAATTCAAATTTGCCCAAAAAGGAAACTAGTACGTAAATTCCAGTTTTGGCATTCTTGAACTGGACATATAACTAAATGAGATACATGTATATTTCCTTGAAAGTCGGGGGTTTTGAAAATAATGTGTAGACAACTTTAAACACAGCTGCAAAAATAGTCTTTAAAACTGACATTTGATCAACATGTACCTTGATTAGAATCTGCTTAGATAGACATTCCACTTCATTTTCCTGTTCATGTAATTTTGATTCTTCCTCATTCCCTGTTAATATGGCTGCCTGGAAAAGAAGCATGCACATGCGATAAGATCAGGTATAGAATTTTTTTCTTCTTCTTTCTTCTGTTAACACTTAAGTTGAACAAATATTATGAAAAAAATCTTAAATTTATCTGACATAAATAACAAAGAAAGAGAAAAAAACAGATCATAAACTTTGGAGTAGTCAACAGTTTTATTAATATTAACATATACACATATGCTCACAGAGAACACTCTCTCTCTCTCTCCCTCCCTCCCTCTCAACCACACACATGCTCAGATGCACACACAGCTGCATGCACCCTCTCTCTTCTTCTCTCACAGACACAAACACACACACACACACACACACACACACACATGCACACACCTCACAAAACAATTCTCTCTCTCTCTCTCTCTCTCTCTCTCTCTCCCACACACAGATTCACACACAGACACAACTAAAAGTAAATCCACCTGTTTGGCTGCCCCCAGTGCCACCACTTCATCAGGCACTATACTGTTTAGAAACTCAGCCTCGTTAAAGTAATCTTTTAAGGAACGTTGTAGAGCAGGAATCTTGGTGGTTCCTCCGCACACGATGACCTAAGTTATAGACAAGCATGGCTTATTAAGCACTGCCTCCATGTTTCAAAATAGTAACTTATTTGTTAGTTACTTAGAAATCCAGTCTTTTTAATTCATGATTTTACCTATTATAAGGTTATTTGATTTATAATTATAATTTTTCAAATACCAGTAAACTTCTAAGGCAAATTGAAAATTGTATGGAATACGCTATTAGAATTAGCATTATTATTATTATCATTATCATAACTGGTCAGGGGTAAAAATCACTAAGGAAATTATTTTTAATTTCACTCTTTAAAAATATTAAAATCTTTAGCTGAACACCACTGTAAAAGACTACAGTACTTTCATTAGATGCTAGTAATTCATGTAAGTAATAAGGCAAGAAATAAACTCACTTTGTTTATGTTCTCTTTGGTGAGTTGGGCCTCTGTCAGTACCTGCTCTACTGGCTGCAGACATTGCTGGAGAAGACTGGACACAAGACTTTCAAACCTCGCTCTGGAAGCAGACATGACTTGAAAGATATCAATATTTCAGAGTTTTTTTCAATATTTTTTTTTACCTAATCAACATATCCTTGGTTATACTGAATAACACCTGTAAGAATTTTTTTATGTTTTTAAAATGCTTTAAACATTTCTTCATTTTGGTCAATGTACCCTTATCAAAACACTGGATTGAAATTCAATGACCTCTTATATTCCCTTTCATTATGATCCCAAACCTCCTCCTTGCATCCCCTTTCAATTCCTTTATCAAACTGATGTCTGAGGTCTCATTTTTTCTACATTTCTTAGCAACTCTACCAGCCCTCCACCCTCTCATCTCTTAATATATTTGATTCTTTTCCAACAACGTAACTATTCTGAAGAAATCACATTCAAATCACTTCTAATTTTAAAACACCTCCTCCATTCTCATACTTTTCTATAACAAAACCATAATTTAAATATCAAGCCTCTCATCTTATATCACCCAATCCCTTCCCATGATACATCTTCCAATCAAATACCTTGGTTCTCACCTGGAGACACTTGACTGAAAATCAATCCCTTCATGAAGAGACTCCACAGAGCACTGCGCTGTCGGCATGGTCGACAAAACGTGTTTACAGTTCTCCGCGGCATTCTTTAACTTGGCTACTGCACGCTTGTTTTCATGCACGTCTGACTTCCACTGTCTGTAAGATGAAAAAAAAAACATGAATTATTTTTATTTAAGAATGTAAAATATTTTGTCTGGAAAAAGAAAAACCTTGCATTATTTCCAACAGTTACAGTGCTCTAGAGTGCATACACCAAGAAAAAAGGCAATGCCATGCAATTACTGAAATGGATAACAGAAAATCACATTCCTTTTTATAATATTATATCAGATTCAGTTGAAATTTTGATCATTTCTTTGTAGTTAAAATTCTGATATTTTGGTTTACCAGATGCATCTCATGGGCAGTTAATGCATATCTGGATTGGATGACTGCAGCAATTAAATACAAGAAAAACACTGAAATGAAGTTCATAAAATATCACTTGTACCTGAAATATCGTAGTACTAGTTTCCTATTGTTGCTTATTTCTGCTGCAGTTTTTAAGTAGCAATGACAAGGAGACATCTTTTGAGCTGGAAGAAGTTGCTGAGAGAATGTGATGAAGTTTAACTAGAAAGTCCATGACAGTGGTGTACGTTAATCTGACAGTTTATGTGACATGTCCCTTTGTCAACAGAGACAGTGAGTTTCTGTCAACAAAGAATCACTTACTGATTGAGGAATGACATAATCACCAACTGACAATACATTATTTATTACTTAAGGTCTTGAGCAAGGTGAAATCTCCAAATATATGTAAGACCATCATGACTGTGTTGTGTACATATCATGGTGAATACTCACAAAGTTTGAATGAAAAAAGAATAATAAAAATGATAGAATTTTCCAAAAAATAATGTTTTATGGATGACACCTGAAAAGGATGTTTTTCAAGTTAATATAAAAAGTGCGACTTCATAAGGGAAATGGAACTGAGATCTTTGAAAAAATGAAATATTGGAATTTCTGGAGTATGCAAGTTGTGAGTGACTACCATATATCCAGCAAGGTGTTAACTCATTGCAGCCTGCTATAGGATCAGACTGTGAATTGTGTACACCTTCAACAAATCATGCTATGTTTCTAGAAATAACTAAATCTAGACAGCAAAGCTGGAAAATATACAGAAGCTTAACAGAAAAAAGCCAATAAGCAATAACTTTTGTAAAGAAAAAATCCTAACATGCTAATTTTTTGAGGGGAACTTTTTACCAAACAAAGCCACTCAGTAAATTTAAAATTAAACAAAAACTTGGTTTAGCAGAAATAGGGTGAGCCAAAGATATGCTAGGAGGCAATGACATAGACATCCACATTTATCAAAATATAAATAAACATATGCAGTGTCTGTACATAAAACTCCTATCAGCCCCATGCACATCAACTTGTCTCTGTCCCGCCCCGCCTCTTATCTTTAAGTAATCCTTTTGTTTAGACAACTATGATATCTCATCAACAGGTGCTTTGTTGCAGACAGTGGAATTCAGTGACAAAGTAGACCACCTAGTCAATGCAGACAAAATGGCCGTCTCTGCAATCAGATGCTCTCTTTTCTTGGGGATTGTTTTTGGTGCTTTTGTCACAGGACAAATTCATCCAGACACTGTTACTGAGCCAACAGGAAACCAGTGCACTCTTTCCTTCACAATACCCGAGGAGAGCTTTGGCGCCTCCTGCGACAAATATGATGACCAAATTGCCCTCCTTTCCTCTCAGCTGAAGAGTGCCACAGAAGAATATCAGACACAACTGAACCTGGAGTCAGACAAGAGGAGAGATCTGGAGACCCTGCTGCAGACAGAAATGAGCAAACGACAGGCGCTGGAGAACAAGACACTCATTCTGGAACAGAGGCTGCAACAGGAGGTTCTAAATCGGCTGACGTTGGAGAACCAGCAGCTGACAGACTCCAATACGGTCAGATCAGAGCTGACTCAGCTACAGACACAGCTGTCTAACTTCATCTGTGAGTACAGTACTGTTATGACTGCCATTTTTTATGATCATTCTGCTCAACTTTATATTTTCTTCTTTGATGCAATGTAACATATAACTATAAAATGAACGAATTAAAATTTAATCATAATGAATACATATGGATTATATGAAAACAAATGATTGATACAGATACAAGAAATAAGCCAAAAAGATCATTACTTTAATAAATATTTTATGACAAACTTATGTCAGAATCAGAAAGAAATTTTGTAACTGATACTTTAAACTATTGTCAAGGCGTACAAATGAAAACAAAAATGCCTTTTTTTTAAAAACAAATTTCTTAATATCTGACTGTAAAGTGTGACCCGAAAAATGACACCTCATGAAATGAGGCACCATTCAGATCTACAGATCTTCACGTCTTTTAGCATCACAATCAAAATGGACGCTGATGTTCAAGGCCGTCAAAGGTGCAGGTGGCGACCTCTATAATCTGTGGACTTCCAACCAAGTACTGAATGAGGGCAATGCTCTAGCTCAGTCATTGGAGCCAACCTTATTGGAGCACTACAAGACGTCTGTTGTCAATGACTGGGCCAAACATAACATCAAATATGTACGCATTTTTTTCTTTTTTTTTTTCCAAAAAGTATAAAAAGTACCAACATGGGCATGAATGTTATTTTTAAAAATTGGATATTATTTTCAAATGGATTTTGCAACACTATTACATACAGACTCTTTTAACATTGCTCTATGGGTACAAAATTGCATTTTTTTTATTTAAAATCCTAAAGTGATCCCCATAAACTACTGATGTCAGTGTATCCATTTTCTAGAGTTAACTAGTGCTTTTATTTAATTAATTAATTTTAAGTCAAAACAGAAAGAAATATGAAAATTCAAAATGGTGATAATCTCCATTTGGCCTCTACAAATGCTTTCACATCAAATATGTCAACAAAATCATAAACAAGTGACGGGACTAACAATAATCTGTAACATAATATGAAACAAATTTGTACACTGAATCTCATCTCTTTATCACAGGTAAAACTTGCTCTCTACCAGGGTGGCATTGAGCGTCTCACCCTGATTTTTAATGCTGTTGGAAGTGACAAGATGAACTGGTTTGCCAAAGACCGACTGATTTCTTCTCCTTATGTTGACATCTATACCTCCTCCATTAACTTCTTTAGCATCAGGGGAACTCCCAGCAGGTAGGGAGACCACTTCAGACATAATTTTATATATATTTTTTTTTATATGAAGAGTGTTACCACAGATAAAATAACAGATCACCAACACTGACATGCAAGTTCAAATGAAAATGTCAGCTTAATAGATATACAGCCTTCCAAGTCTAAAAAAAATGTCCAATCAGCAGCTGAGTTTGAAGACTTCCAAGTCTTTGCTGTTAGCTGACGAATATTATAATTCTTTCAAGTATTCAAAATTAAAATCAGAATAATTTTAAATGTTTGCAGTGTAACAAAATTTAGTGTACGTGAAGTTGAATCAAAATCTTAATCTTGACTATGTTATTTTTTCAGCGTCAGTGGTCAATATGGCCGCTACTTCTACATCAGCCAGTCTCATAACGGCTGTCCCAAGGATTACGGCTGGCTGGCTGTACCTAACAATGCTTTTGTTTGTGCCTACGAGAAGTATCCTGCATATCCAGTCTTCCTGTACGCTCCCGGACACACAGCCATTAACTGGGCCAAAGGTCAGAGGTCACCAATGATAGTACCAAAAATAATACTGATAATTATTATTCATAATTAACTGAACCAATACCCTGGGGGCATTCATGTTGATGAAATCAAAAAGAGTGAAATCTTAGCTGCTTTATAAAAATTCTGTTCTAATTTAAAAGTAAATGCCTTTTTCTCTCTGATTCTCATCACCAAAATGTTACTATATTCAATATATAAGAACCATTGTTTCACAGAAAGTATACTGAACCATTATAGTTATCCCTCCCCTCCACAAGTAGCAGGTCTTGGCAAATTACAAGCTTCAGCAATCAGGAGATTAAGGGTATATGGAAAAACAATGCAGTTATAAATATTCAAACGTTATCCTGATATTATCAATATCTGTATTGTAGGAAAACATGGAGAGGCTGATGTGTTGGCCATTTTCATGGCAACAGAGTAAAAACCAGAGAGGGAATGATGCCGTTCTTCAGAGAAAATTGTGCACCCAAGGAAAGAAAGAGAACAATGGATCCAATGAAATAAGGAACAACTCTTTGTATGAGATTCATATTTCACAATAAATACACTGTAAGCAACTCATTGGACCATGATACCTCCAAAGATGGCTATACTCTAACCGATCTTTAAAAAAGAAAAAAAAAATGGACTAAATTTGAATGTCTGAACAGATTTATTAACTATTAATAAGTATCATTAATGGGAAAATTGTTGTTTACCCCATGATATCCAATTTTTGGCTAAAATGAACAGTTACCATCTCTTTAAATGCTGATTGCAATAGCTGGTGTATTCAATAAACATGCAGGCTAAAAAGTTTTCTTTCAAAAATCATAGCACTGCTCAGTATTGCTCCATCAGAGACAATTCTGTAATGATTTTATTAAAAAAAAGCAATTAATCTTGAGACAAATTACATTCTTAGCATAAAAACCTACAATGAGAATTTTATTATTTTCGGTAATGACTTGGATGTTTTCAATGGGGGAAAATTGTGAATTTTTACTGATACTATTTTTCAAGTCTTAATTTTTTAAAATAAGAGCAATCCTATTGAGTGGTAGCAACAAAATTGAAAAGCAGACAACCTTATAGTTCTATTCTGTGCATTAAAAGCACCACAAATGCTATACACAAATATAATTTTTATAATTTTAAAATGATGTATCTGAAAGTTTGATAATTTTTGCCCATTGAAAAGATCGAGACATAACCTTAATAATGCATCTATCATCATGCATCTGATTAAATACAATTAAAATTGTTATCAAAATATAAAATATTGTCGTTCAAATTTTTTGTTGCTAAGCTTTAGCATAAGCACCTCAGAGTTTATGGTCATTTTAACAGTTTTTTATTTTGAAGTGAGATAGCATTGGCATGGGGCATAACATCATCCCCAAACAAGATCACAAAAATTGGCACAGGCGATGACAGATGTATGGGGTTTAATCGTGTGGTCATTTTGGTTTACATGTTTTGTCATAGAGTAATAAGCCCCTAATTACAATGATTCATTGATCAAAGGCATTATTTTGACTTTTTGACGAGAAAATTTGAACTAAAGCTTTTTAAGAAAAATCAATGGCAGGGTTTTAAAGAACTCAATGGTGTCATTAAATTAATGTTAAAATGGTGTTCATGGCTGCTCAGGTAAAAACTTGTCAATTTCTCAAATCACGTGCCTCAGACAGCCTACAGTTTTTATCACTAAGTATACCACTTAATGTGAAAAGGGCCTACTACTGCTAGTCCTAAAGGTTTGATTACAGTATTTGCATAGTTTTATATTACCAGATGATAAGATAGGACTATTCAATTTTGAGGATACTATTTGATGCCTGTAAAAAGGTGAACAAGACTATCATCAAAATAAATAAACATTAAGGGTTCCAGACAACAACTTTTAATCTAAATAAAAATTACTATCACCATTAACCAAACTTCTTCACAGAAATGTATGGTTATTGTTAGGGAATCAGTAAGGAGGGGAGAGAAGGGGGTAGGGGAGGAGCAGGAAAGAAAAAAAAATTGAACAGACTGAAATTGTCACCCCTTGTTTTGATAGCTTATAAACTCCTCCTAGACAAACAAACAAAAGGCCAAGGTCTCAGAAAAGCTACATTTAAAAAACCATACTGAGGGATTCGACTAAGGTGGCCAAACCCAACATGAAGTCTGCACTTGCCTCAATTTTGGTCATCACTGTATTTTGGTCAGCACAGGTACACTGCCTGCCTCCTATACATCTTAACATCTCGGGGCCAGACCATGGGTGTACCTGCCCAAAATACGAGTCACGCGCCACGGAAATGTCTCAAAAATTGCTAGATGTCAGCAACAGGTTCCACACACAAATATCCACCATGCAGACGTTATTGATGCAGGAAACACTGGCACGCCAGATGCTTGAAAATAAGTTCACAGGGTTGGAGAAAAAAATGACTGAAGCCATTCAAAAGTTGAGCGCCACGGTTTCCAGTCAACAGCAAAACATTACCATATTAAATGATTTCATGGGTAAGTCCAATAACTGTAATTTTTCTTTTCTTTTATCACCTTCTTAAAACATCTCTATTTAGTAAAAATACAAAAACCGAGGAGGTAACCTTTTAAATATCATTATTTTTAGGACAAGAAACAGAAACACCAGTATAAGATGACATCTTTATATGGACGCCTATCCTCCTAAGGCATATGCAACCAGAAATTAAAGGAAATGTATAAAGAAAGAAAGAAAGAAAGAAAGAAAGAAAGGTAGAAATAATAACAAAGGTCTTTTTGTTACAGCAACCCTGAATAAGTGGACGTTGGTTTTCAAGGCAGTGGCAGGTGGCGGGGAAGACATGTATCAGCTATGGAGCTCAGATAGAACTCTGAATGAAAACATTCCCCAAGCCAAGTCCTTGACAAGCTCACTGAAAGTACACTACAAGCCTCACCTGGTCAACAACTGGAAGAATGAGAAGATTAAATATGTAAAATAATATTATTCCTTTTTAATTATTTAGTATCCATTTTACTTAAGTTGTCATTTAATAGATAGGAACTCCTTGTTTATCAATGTACCAGGTATTAAAATAAATAAATCACTAATGTGATATTTCATTCAAATATTTTATTCAACTGTGTGGATCTGAATATGGAATGACATTTCTTCTCCAGGTAAAAGTGGCCTTCTACAAGGGTGGTGTGGAGCGCATTGTTCTGATATTTGACGCTACAGGCAGCGACAAGATGTCATGGTTTGACAAAGGCAGATTGATATCTTCCCCATATTCAGACATTGACACTGCTTCCCCATCTACATCTGGCTACTATTTCAGCATTCAAGGCTTTGTCAGGTATTATGATCTGTGTAACTGTATATCATTTTATCAGCTCCACAAAACATCAGTAAAGCATGCGCACATACACCCCATTCTCATAGATTAGATCGACCTACATTGGATCGACCTAACTCCCTGGGGGTTCACGCTAAATAGCTGTCAGCCGGGCGGACACGAAAGTTAATTACCCCTTAAAGCTTGTAGTAGGCGGGGACGGACACTTAAGGGGAATTATCTGACAGTAATCTAGTGAGACTCCCCGCAGTGATAGATCGATCTAAAAGTTGTGAGAACAGAGCCATAG